GGCCCCTTTGTTTCTTCTCCTCTGTTACTAATTCTGGATTCTGATTCTGGAGATGCATCCTTCTTACCTCATGATGCATCCTGAGCCAGGGATGCAGTACAAGTTGCCTGTTGCAAACCATAACATACGTCTAATGCTTTTTCTCCTTCTTGTCTACCCTAGGCTGATAAACGTGCTCACCACAATGCACTGGAGCGCAAGCGTAGGGACCACATCAAGGACAGTTTCCACAGCCTGCGGGATTCTGTGCCATCCCTTCAGGGAGAGAAGGTGAGTTTATTGAGAGAAGTGATGTGTTTCCCCTGAGTGCTGCCTTTAGATAGCACAGGAATTGCTTTACAGCCCAGTTCTGCAGGGGTCTTGAAGACAGGTTCACCATCCATTCTGCAAAATGAAAGTGAAGCATCGCATCTCATTAGATTAGATGATTCCAAAAGTTTGGAAGTCTCGTCAAGCCTTTCACAGTTTCTGGATAGCTTTGCTTTTGGTCCTTGTTTGCTTTTAGTAATGCTTGACTTATGACAGACCTTGCAGGCCCTACTGAAATAGTCCATTTCATTGCATGTGAACAAGCAGGTCTCTGACACCTTACACAGGTTCTGTGACATTTGTGTGTTGTCACACATGTGGTAGTGAATGCTTGGTCTCTCCCCTCATTCCCTGTCCAACTCCTTACTCTGAACAATGGTGTCCAGACCTGTATAGTACAGTACAGTACAGTACAGAAGACACGTTAAAGAGAAGTCTAAAGGGATGAAAGACAAGCTGAACTACCCCTTCGCCATCTTGCTTGCCTGTAGGGTGCTTTTCAATCAGGTTATCTCAAATCTGTTAATACCAAAAAAGTTCCCAGTGACCTTGGAGCTTTAGGTGGTGGCAGAACCTGTTCATTCCTTCCATTTTGCTGTCCCAGAACTACTTAGAGTATTTATTTACTTAAAACATTCTTATGTCACCATTCCACCTGATCGGGGTCCCCAAGGTAACAAGCATTAAAACATTCGAGCAACTAAGTACATTTAAAATAATAAAATTATTCAATTAAAAACACCTAAAACAAACAATATCAGAAGGAGGGCCCGTAACAGTTGCTGGGGGTATGATAGAGGAAACAAAAAGTCTTCCACTCCTGGCAGAAGACAGAGGGGGACAGATAAATCTCCCTGGGGAAGGCATTCCAAAGTTTTGGTGCCATGATGGAAAAGATCCTTTCTTGGATTGTCACCCATCTGACTTCAGTCGGCAGGGGCAACCAAAGTGTGGACTCTAATCTAGGAGAAGCGGGTTTGATTCCCCCCCCCCTCCTCCACTCACACCTGCTGGATGACCTTGGGCAAACCATAGTCCTGTCAGAGCTGTCCTTGAAAAAAGAGCAGTTCTCTGTCAGAGCTCTCTCAGCCCCCCCCACCTCACAGTGTGTCTGTTGTGGGGAGGGGAAGGGGAAGGAGTTTGTCAGCCGCTCTGAGACTCAGAGTGAAGGGTGGGGTATAAATCCACTCTTTTCTCTTCTTCTTCCAAAGATGACTGGGGTGAACAGGTAGGTTCATATGGGGAGGGGGCAGTCCTTAAGGTATGTTGGCCCCAAGCTTTAAAAGTTAACACCAGCACCTGGAATTGAGCCTGGAAGCAAACTGGGAGCCATTCTAGATGAAACAAGACTGGAGTGATATGGTCCTTATGACCCACTCCAGTCAGCTATCTAGCCACAGCATTTTATACTAACTGCAGTTTCCAGACAGTCTTTGAGGGCAGCCCCATGTAGAGCACATTGCAGTAATCTAATTTAGATGTTACCAGGGCATGCGCCACAGTGGCACACAGGGAGAGCTGTAGCTGGTTTAACAAGCCAAACTGGTAAAAGGCACCCCTGGCCACCACTGCCACCTTTTTATCCAACAGGAGGCCTGCCTGGGTCCAGGAGCACTCTCAAGCTATGAACCTCCTTTAAAATAGAATTATCTCTGCTAGGAAGGAGGGTTTCTAGTTTTTTTTTCTGGCCAATGGCTGGGTAGGCAAGGCTGATCTTTCCCTTTGCATATGTTCTTTCTGGGAGAGAGAGGGTGTTTAACTTCCCCTTAAACCGTGGGAGTGGAGCTAGGATGTTCTGTATAGTCCCAGAGCAAAGTCTCTAACCCAGGTGAATCTGTTATTTCTACCTAGTGACACTGGTGATCACTTGGGACCATTGTACATGACCACGCAATCTCTCTCTTTTTAAATTTGGCTCAGGTTGGATTATGCTCAGAGTGAAGGATTTGCCTGAATTATTTGCCCGGGAACACATGCTGCTGTTTGACCTGTGTTAGGAAGTTTGACAGTAGCATGAAGAATTTCATCTTGAGCTTATGGCAGACACTTCAGATGGGCATGTTTCACTCTGAGGAACAGGGGAGGGAATGACTACTCAGGAGGGAATGACTACTCGGGAATCACATGGTTGTGTGAAGTGGCGTACGTCCTTTGAATGTGTAAAGACTGGCTTTCCTTCTTCCCTGGGCTTGAAATGTAATAATGCTAGCAGGTAACTTGTAGCTTTCTATAGGACAAATGTGTCAGTCCTGAAAAAAGAATGAGGAAATGACCTGCTAATCATCAGTGGCTGGAATAACTACAGAGTTGTCTGCACACGCTCAGTACAAGGTACTTAGCTTGATAGACAGCATTTTTTGTGTGCATTCACCTCTGATGACTCTGTCCTAGACATCATCAAGGTACACCTGTTTATTACTCATGTCATATGGACAAAGAGCTTGGGACAAATGGTTGATGGTTAGGTTAGCTAAAATATGTGGTCTGGCCTTCTGCTTTTTTTGGTTCTTCCTTAGAAGTAGAACAAACTGCCGAGTAGTTACCACTAAGAACGTAGGAGAAGCCAATGTTGGATCAGGCCAGTGGCCCATCCAGTCCAACACTCTGTGTCACACAGTGGCCTGAAATACCAGGGGCCATCAGGAGGGTCCACCAGTGGGGCCAGAACTCCAGAAGCCCTCCCACTGTTGAAGTTTATCCAATTCTCTCTTGAAGCCGTCCATGCTTGTAGCCGCCACCACTTCCTGTGGCAGTGAATTCCATGTGTTAATTACTCTTTGGGTGAAGAAGTACTTCCTTTTATCTGTTCTAATCCGACTGCTTAGCAATTTCATTGAGTGCCCACGAGTTCTTGTATTGTGAGAAAGGGAGAAAAGTACTTCTT